TCAAAATGTTCAGAAAAGATGCGCATATAACCGTCCGATGCCATAATCGAGTATCGATGGGAACGAGTTGTCGCGCAAGATAACCGCATGGCGATCGATACTTGCCGCCAATGTTATTTTAGTAACTAACGATGAATTATGTCCGTCTATGCGGACACAATCAAGAAGAGTATATATTATCTCTACGAAGACGTAAAGTTAATATAAAATCTATAATGTAATAGCATGTATATTTAAGTTTCGTAGTTGCCAAGTTGCGGCTTATAAAATTTATCTTTTCTGATGAATTTATTGCATTTATGCAAAAAAAAAAAAAAACTCATCAATTTTGTCGTGAGAAAAGAAAAATGATTTGCAGATTCTTACATCGAGTTGAATATTTTCATAACCAATGAATGACTCTCGAAATCGATAAATTTTCCTATTAATGGTCTTATCTTATCTTTGCTGTTCATGAAAACCTAGCAGTAATTTATTAGTGAATAAATTAAAATGAATAAAATATTTTCAATTATTAAATTACCATAATTTTTTCATTTCCGATAATGTATTGCTAACAAAATTTATTCATATTTGATACAAAGAATGTTTACGGAAACATTATAAGGCAATTATAGTTCGCGAAAGAAAGAAACGATGAGCCAGGATTAATGAACCTCTTTAAACGTACACTCTTGAAGGCGCAGCCTTGAAAGATTCCGGGCTGCATGCCGACTTGAACGCGCGCGTGCGAGGCGCTGGTTTTTCATTCAGCGGATTAGTTCCGTATCGGCGAAATGATCTGTCACGATCCTTTCCGGATTCGGTGAAGAACAGGGATGTGGGAAAAAGGCGGGTAAAAATCGTAGCGGACTCGCGCGGCGACCTGCCTGCCGTGCGACGAATTAATTAGTTCGATCGGCGAGGCACGTCTTGAATGAAAAGCCGGGCGTTACATGCACGCACGCTGTGGGGTTATTATGAAATTACGTTATCGGACTAAATATTAGCGCGATTCAATTCCGTCTTACACGCTCGATTCCTCAAGCGTGCCGCGCGCGTGTTTCCGGACACGTTCGGAAACAATCGCGTCCCTTTATATCTCTGTGGATCAATTCTTGGATGACTGTTATTCGATGCGAGAAACTGCGAGTAGTCGAGTCAAATATATTGTTAGTATGACTAGAAATTAGACATTTTAATAGACATTTGAAATATTTCTTAAAAAAATAGAGATTTAATTCTGTTTTTAAATAAGACTCTCTCTCTCTTTTTTATAAATTTTATGAATAATTAATTTTTAGAAGAATAAAAATAATTTGTTAAATAATGTAGGATTATATAAAATTATTAAATTAAGATTGGAAAATCTCGAGTTATTGTAATGCTTCATTTAGCAGCTTCTTTTTAATAATTTCTATTATTGCAATACATCGAACATTTATTCTCGATCAAGCGGTATCTCAAATGAGACAAAAGGCTTGTTCACGCGTCTCGTCACTCCCTAGTAAACCGTATACGACACTGGGTTATCCTTGCAACCCTTAAGTCCTCAAACCCACTCCGGGTAAATTTGCCTGACGCACGTACACACGCGCGCGTATACATGTGTGCGATAGTGACGTGTCGCCGACGTCCCATGGCGTCGATTCTCTGGAGACGAGAAAGTCCAAGTTTTCTTTCCGGACGCGATCGATCTTGGGATGGCGTATGAACTGAATGTGCGAATGACTCGCACATGAAAAAGGAGAATCACACTGAAACTTTTCTTCTGGTCCTCGATCTCTACTATTTATAATTGTTTATTCCATTAGTTGACATTTATCAAAGTTTTATCAATAAATATAATCTTTAATTTAATCTTAATCGCACTTAAATTTTCTTTTAAATGAAAGTAAATATGTGTTCACACATATATATCCTATATATTTATCTATCATGTAGATTGTAAGATTAGACAAAGTTATCTATTTGTTTGCAGTTTTTAATATTTTCTCATGACATGGAGTTTGAGAAATCTTCAAGCGATTTATCTTATCGATCGCGCTGAATAAAAAAATTAAAGGAACCGTCTTATCAGTAGTAAAGATTATTTTTCTGAAATCATAATCTCTATCAAAATTCGTTTAAACGTCTGTAGAGTTATTTTATTTGCATTATAATTCTATTTAATTTATTGCAAAAAAAAAACTGTTGTTTCTTCATGTAATTATTATACCGGATATTTATCATCGATAGTGCCGATTGCGACGAGTGATATCACAAGTCCAATGAAAAATTATACACACAAAGTGTTTCTGCGACATTCCATAGAATTTAAATAAGGCGTTAATTTACATTTGTGCAACGTCAGTTATGGAACAAGTCCGTCTCGTGATCTCTAAGACATGCGTACACTAATAGCCCGCGTAATTATTATTCTCGCATCGCAGTACTTTGTTTATCTCTTTTCCCTTCTCTCTTATAGCCTCGTGCAACTATGCGCGTTATAATTAGCATAATAAATTTACAAGGCCGACTAATACACGGAAAATACTGCGACACGTGTATCATCAAGGTCGATAGCTCGAGAATTCGGGAGAAAGACGTCTCTTGATCTCTCTGTCTCTTAAAATATTTTATAAATATAACATTTACAATTTTTTTCCATATTTATGTTTCTTTTTTTATTTTCTTCAGTGTGTGTAGATCGAGGTTAGGCGATTCGTTCATTATGCGAAACGCCGCAAAAGAATGTGTAATGTGCTAAATATAGTATCGATCGAACGATGCCGAAATTCGTTACCGGAAATTCGGCGCGCTGTGAACTCTATGTTATCGGAATATTCTGCGTACTCTTGTTATTAATCACCGGGCCGCGCTGCTTCTTAATGATCGTTCGTCCGGCCTTGGGGCGCGAGTACGCGCGCGATGCACACCAGGCATTTCGAGCACTAAATATTATCAATGCGCCGTTAATTACCCGCCGGTTAACCAACTGTTATTCGACGACCGATCGGGAGCCGAGAACCTGATTCTCGATGATTTGAAAGCGTCGGTTAAACCGCGCTCAACAACATCGTATTTCTTGTATGGAAAATTTGTACGTAGAAATAAAATGAAAAAAATTTATAATTTAAAATTTAATTTACTTAATTTAATTTGATTTATAATCTAAACAAATTATCTCAAACATTTTAAACGTTTAGAAGTATAGGAAGTTTTTATTTCAACATTCGATCGCCGCGTGATGAATTGTTTTTCTAAATGAATAATTCACGGACGACGTCGTGCACTCAAGTCGAATGGAAGAAAAATATGGTATTGCGATGCATGGAAATTAATACGCGTTTATGTTTGCCATTACAAAATTATTGTAATCAACTCATCGTTGTACTATGATTCGTGAAAATTTAATATGTCCCTCGCGTGTAATATATTTGATAATCGATATCAAATTATTAGTGTCTGGATGATCGTCGACAATCGGACTGACAGCATAAATATGAAGACCTTTGCGTTATCGATTGCGATATAGTGTTATTTCATCAAACAGCTGAACTTTATAATATACGATAATGATTTGTTCATATTCGAGACTATTAAAGATCGATTTAAAACATTTTTGCACACGTACACTTGCATTAGAATTCTGCGATTGTTAACACAAACATACACACATATTATATTATTTGCTAAATGGAACACGCTCACATAATATATATACAAGCACGATGATAGTATCCAGAAGTTTACTTACAGCATCCGAAGTTTGCTTATAATGTATCATTAATGCAATAATATATCAGCTGTAATCGCTAACACAATAATAAAAGAGTCACGATATTTTAATTATTTAGATATTTTTAATTATATTATTTTCTTTAAGATATTGAAATATGTCGCGGATTAATTAATGCGGTGCCGCAAAAAAAGACTGACATACAGTGCAATAAAAAAAGAAGGAAGAGAATAATACTTGTGGGACATATCCTTGGCTAATGCTTCGCATTTGCGGTATAAGAAAAAAAAGGTTAATGACATTTTAATTATGCATCTCGCGGCGTGACAACAGCGAGTATTGTGACTTATTGTCTTCCTCTCGGTTTTAGAATTGATAATATTCGTTACGTTTCGTTTCTCTGCGAGGAAAAAAGTGCTGAATCTTTCTGAAAGATGCACGAGTATGTTACGTCATGCACAAGAGATAATTTTCGTGTGTCTATGTGAAATCTGAGCTTGTCGAAATTATAACATATCTTTAGTTGAGAATTGGAATTTACAACATTAAGAGATTTTGAGAGTGTTTCAATACCATAGATATATATTCACATATAAACTTTACATGTTAATTAAGAAACTTTTATTATGCCCGGTTTACAATGAGTCGTTAGTCGCTAACAAATTGACCAAGCACAGTCGATTATTTCGAGGATATTCTTGGAATAATCGATTGCTGGTCAATTTGACAACTAACGACTAACGACTTATTGTAGACCAAAAACACTTTACAAGTGTATAGCGTTGGAATCAATACTTATTAAAATTGCACAAATGAAAGATTAATTGTAACCGTGATCTCGACTATCTTTTTTAGGACTTGAAAAATTAATCTTAATAAATTGAGCGAACATAATTTCAATTAATTTAATTAAAGTTTTTTTTTTTTTTTTTTAAATTCATCAAAGATTCGGCGTTGCATCGAGCCCTTTAACATTGTTGTGTCGTTTATAAATCCTCGCTTTTGTATTTCGGTGCATTAAAAAAAGATCGAAAAAGACGCGGACGTGGTGAAAGTCGTAGACTACATTTCGCGAATCTGTGCCATGTCCGAGGGCATTTTGCGGTGTGCTCGGGAGAGCCAAGCAGCCAATCGTTAGTACCCCTCGGGATGCTTTACGAAAATTCGCGAACGACGAGGGGGCTCGATGCAACGCGATGATCACTCGTGTATTGTATGCATGAAACATTCGCGCGCACACGCGAGAGTAACACGCTGTACACAGCACACCTAACATTGACCGATCGGTCTGATCTGACAGATCGTTGCCTGTCCCCAGGAGGCATACTCCAGCCTATGGCTACAGCCAGCCGGACTACAGGCTCCACGAGCTGAACAAGAGGTTATCGCAGCGCACCGAGGTGAGTACGCTTTCGAATTCATTTCTCTTTTCTTTTACGTTGTATTCGCACGACCGGCGAATCTTACTCACCCTTTGTCGGCCCTTCGCACTCGCACGATGTAATCGGAACCCTTGTCTTCGTCTGCGCGACGAATTCATTGCTCGATATGTATTTCATTTTATCATTTTAGAATAAATCAATTTTTTGATAGTAGAATAAAATTCACATTCTTTCGGAAGAATAGAACTAATTAAAGAGAATTGGGGGTGGCGGAGTTTATATAAAATATATTGTTCTGAGTTATAAATTGTGTGAAACTTTTCTCACTCGCCGAAAAATTACTGATTCTTAATAAACTACAATTATGCAATAATTTTATCAATTTTCTGATTATTATGTGAACAAAGAGATATCTTTTTTTCTGTGAAATCAGGAAAATAAATATCTCTTTAAAACAATAAAAAAATATTTGCGGTAACCGAAATGGTCAGCGCGACGGAATTTACGGTATGCTTAATCGAATGCGCTATTTATCGCAATTCGAGATATCGTTATTTTGATAAAGGTTATATTGCCCACCGTTTTGTTTAATCGCGTACGTTAAATTGTTTTGCAATTTTTATTCGTTTCTGTCAGTTGCATTTACATTCACAAAAAAGCTTATAGGTACATGAAACAAGCTTAGATCATAAAGTCATTGTCATCGATAACTTTTTTTTGTTTTCCTCTATTGTATCTATATGAAGAACATACAGATAAAGATTCTGTCACGTTTACCTTGTATTAGCATATTTTAATTTTTAATTTCAAGGTTGTGTATCGAACTTTTAACTCAATTGTAATTGTCATCGTGATTCCACTGAAACTCGTAATATTATGTATTATATCTAAATAATATATTTTTTAATAATATTTAATGTACAAATATGCAAATTCTGATATAAATCATAGTCTCGAAATATTTTAATTGATAATTTTTAAATTTGATCACTGTTAATAAATAATATAATTAAGATATACTCTTGTATATAGATATAAAATTTTACATATATTTATAAATAAGAATTTTTCAAAAGTCATAGGAACTTTTTTTCTCAGAATGCTTTATGACTTTACTTACAAAAGAGAAAAATTAATCAAAATAGTATAAAATGCAGTATTTTGACTAGATTTTATAATTCTTTTACCGGCGGTAAAAAAAAACACACGCATGACAAGCTATTTACGCGAAATGAAGGAAATAATTCCTTTTGATATGTAGTTAATACGGGATGAAAATCTTTTGTTTTAAAACCACATACTGTCGGCTTTGCTATATATTACAATATAAAATTATCTGCAACCCATATACCACCGCGGCAGATAAACTAACCTCTTCTGAGTGATCCACGATAATAGTGATAAGATATGATGCAGGGAAATCATTATTGCTCGCACATGTCATTCAGACTGTTGATAGTTAATCGAGGCTCCGCAAAAAATGCTGCATTCGTCCATCTTTTACCGCGATCGTGTGTCATAACTGACTTTCGATTTTTACTTGTATATTCAAAAATTAATTAAAAATAAATTATAGTTATGTAAGTTATTTAATTAATACACTTATAAGATAATTTTTTCATAAATTTTCTAGAGTAATTGATAACCAATATGTGTGACATATAATAACACATCTTTAATTGGATTCAACTTTTAAAAGTTATGATATGAAAATAGTAATATTTAGAAAAAAGAGAAGATATTTTGTAACATAATTTAAAAATATTATATACACGCAATCAGTTACAATAGTTTTAAAAATTGTTGGACTAGAGAATAATTTTCTACACTTTTGCATTTTTAATAAAACAAAGGGTATGATTGAATTCTGCAATCGTTCTAAATACAAATCGTTAAACTCGAATAATTTTGTCGCTGTTTGCATATGTGTACGTATTCATAAGACAGTTCGTCGAAAAGATTATTTCCTGTCAACGATGCACAATTTACGGCAGGCAATAGTAGCCGTATTTCTTTTTGATATTTTGCCGAGTAGTGGTCAATATGTCATCAGGGTTGAGTAACGCGCGAAAAAAAGAAAAAACGAATGTGCTCGAGGTTAATGCGTTCTAATGATCCTCCGCTCCTAGTACAACGTTCATTAATCTTCGGATGGACAACCGGTCTTCTTCCCTGGGAGGTCTCGATAAGCGGTCCGAATAAATTCTTCGGTTTCTGTCGCGCGTTAGTATCGGATAAAAGGAGCAAGAGGCGAAGAAGCAGCGAGCTGTCAACGCTTCTAGCGTGAAGTATACGTGCCAACACGAAAAATCTTTCCACGTGCTTACCACTTATGCGAGCAAGTTTTCGAACAAATTTTTGTGACAAATATTTGTACGATGTTTTTCTTTTTTTATTTTTTCAAATTTTAATTTCAAATCATAAATACTACAGGTATTATTATTGCAGCAAGATGATTAACGTTCTTATCTCAAATTACCATCTCTTGACATTTTCTAATGCCATTCATTAGTTTCGCGAAACCATAAATTATAAGTTCTACGAATTAAAATGCACAGTCTTTTTCTCATCTTTCGTGTTTAAGAAATATACATATACTCTAGAAAAAAAAAGCAAAAAAAAATTTCGATGTCTTTTAAATATGGTTTCGTGATAAAAAATTATTTATTTTTTCGAAATATATTTTTGTACCATAATCGTCTCGGTAAACGCAAAGCTATCCGGGAAATTTTGTTTATCTCGTTTTGTGGTTATTCTCGCGTATAGGGGATTGGGCGTGTATGCAAATTATATTTCGCTGATACAAGCATACATGAGAAAGAGCGAGAGAGTGCACGTGTCAATATATATAAACACATATATACGTGAACTGCATCGATCGTTGCGACGGGAGAAGGAAAAGGTCAGAATCGAACCGGCATATTGCAATTGCTTTTACTTATGCATACTTGGGCCGTACATTCTGCGTATTCGTGGATCCTGTAAATGACCCAAATTCGCGTGCCGATATAAATAAAATTTGCCGTTTTTATTCTTTTTTCTTTCTTTTTTATATAAAAAAAAAAAATTTACTGGACTTAAATGATTTTATCGCAAGATTACGCAATCAATGGTTAAAATCCGGCAGCGATTCGACAACGTTTGCACGCGTTCAACGAGCAGAACGAAATCATGCGCCTCGATAGATTTAATAAAATAAACGAAACATAAATGAGATAAACTTTCCGTTAAAAAAATTTGCATTTGCTGTTGCAATATTAGCGCATGCGAAAATGACGATTCCCCGTGAAATTATAGTGTATCGTATAGCGGTTAAATTGAAGTGTGTATGTGTGCGGGTGCAAAGAGATTTAACACACCCACCTATAGGCGCGCGTTTATGCCGCTTTTTAATGTCGCAGCGCGGTTACGATAAGCCGACTGGACACTCGCGTGGCACCAGTTTTATTTTATGATTCGCGCCAGCGGCGGCTTCGAATGTGAAGTGTAAAAATGCTTTTTCATCGCGGCGATGTAACTGAAGCGCCATTACGTCGCGACAAAAATTGCAAGTCCTGTGCAAGCTCTTTACTTAAACTTGCAACGATATCGATTGTTTCTGCAGTAAATGTGTTTTTTAATTGCAAACCGGAGGCTCTGCGATCAAACGCGAGCTGTCGGAAAGAATTGCAGGAAAATACAATCGAGGCAGAGTGTTAAAGCTCGGAAACTAGAGCTAATTTTGCCGGAAAAATATTTCAAAGAAACTTGTTGATGCGTTAAAAAATATTTTGCATTTGAATTTAATTTAAAAAAAAAAAAACGAATAAATAGAACTCTTTTCAGCAAGCATATATAAAGCCCCAAAAGGATAAAGAAAATATATATGAATTTTTCTGTCGAAAATATATATCGCGACCTTTTTGCGTTCGATCCAGCATACGATCTCGACGAACAGCCTCGTAAACTGCAGTTGTAATGATCGTGCACGCGGATCATGCGTAGTATGTTTAACCCTGTGCATATCATGGTGACAGGTGCGTGTGTACAAGGCGCGCTTTTAAACGCGGTCGCGTAAAGTCGTCCGGGCTAACGAGGCGTGGAACCTCGCAAGGCAACGATCCAAATTTCAATGTTACAATCCCATCGAACCGTGGCGGTAGCCCGCTTTGGCACCATTCATCTCCTCTTCCTCGTTCTGTCACGGTCACTCGGAAACGATCTGCATGTATAAGATATTCCAGTAAAATTTAATTTTTTTTTTTTCAGTTTTAATTTAAATCAATTTTTCAGAAGAATTTTTTTCTTTTATGTAACTTGAATTTATAAATAATTTATACATGCTTGTATGTTAAAAAAAATTTGATTCCAATTTATTCTTCGTGTAACTATTCTATTTTTGTACGCAATTGAATTATATATATATATAATTTATTTATTATTATTTATATTCTTAATTTGCTATTTGATTACAACCCATTTTTTTCATTTTATTTTCTCTTGTATTATACGTGTATTATCTATTTTTTCTCTTCTTGTTTTGTAGGTTTTTCTTTGTATTTACTATCTGTCGTGTATATTCTCATATATCATGTATAGTGTTCAGAGAGGGCTTACTATGCTTTCTCTCTAGAACACGAAATAAATTCTACTCTAGTTTCCCCCTGCTCTCCATTCCGTCTCGTTCTCTCCCCGCTCTTCGTGTTTTTCGTTCACTCTCTACTCCCCCGCGCACGTGGACACGCGCATACACGCACACACACGCTCTCGCGTAGCCGTTCGCAAAGTTTAGCAAACGACATGGCGTGTCCCACGGTCATAAATCATCTTTCCTCGCGCTATCGTCGCATCTCGTGCGTTGTCAGCATGCGTTTGCAAGGTTCACCGCCGTTTCTTCCGCTACTTCCGTCAGATCCGTGCTAACGCCGCCGCAGAAAAACATCTTGTTATATGTAAAAGAATATTCGAAGTCGAACCGCTATTAACTCTTCGATTTTTAATAATAAGTAATAAATTAATAACCAAGCAACGATTTGTGC